CCTCTCAGAGGGCGACCAGCGACGAGGGTCCCGGTCCTCCGACAAGGTGCGGGAAGGGGCAGGCGCCCCGCGGCGAACAAAGCGCCCGCAGGCGCGGGTGGGCGGGCGCCCGCCCCCTGTGGGTGGGCTGCGGGGCTGTTCGGGGCCCCGAGACGGGCCTTCCCCCGCTGGAACGCGGCTGATGCCTTAGTCGCGTCGAACCCTCAGCTCCGAGCCTCGTTGCTTCCCCCGTTCGTTGCGGCTGTAATGCCAGCCCCGCTTTGCGCAGCTCGGTGGGCCTCAGACTTGGAGGCTGGCTCCGTCCGACCTTGGCATCCCGCTGGGTCAGGCTTTGCCCTCGTGGTCCCCTCGCCGCGGCCAGCCGTGCGCCCAGTGTTGTCTGACCTGCAGGTCGTGTCTGTCATGCGGGCGAGTGTAAGACAAACGTTAAAACTAAGAGGCTTGATGCTCCCTGTTGAAAATAAGGGAGGTCGCTTTTCCTCTCCTGTTTCTCTGAGCGCCTACTTTAGAAAGGGGGTCGCTGTCAAGGCAGCCGTGCCCGAGCACCAGCAGCTCGGTGCCCGCCTGGCGGCGTGTGGGACGGTGGTGCACCCCAGAGCCCGGTGGGCAGCAGGTTCACCTCGGTTTGGGTAAGGTCCCTCTATGATGTTTGAAGAGCCACATGAAAAATGACAGAAGTCGCCTAACGAGCATTTCTCAGACTGTATCCTGGTCTGGTCGTTAAGCGGCGAATGACTGTAGTCTGTCCCCTCTTTGAAATGTATATACAGTGGGACCTGGGTCCTGGAACTCAATTCCAGAAAGCTGTTCAAGAAGCGATTTGTTTCAAAACCCAACCGTTGCCCATTAGAAATAATGTAAATGGAATTAATCCATTCCAGACCCACAAATGATTTGCTGTTTTTACCTTTCGTATATACAGTCCATGTCTAATGTAGTGTTTCGTCTATAAATAAACACTTCTTAAATTTGTCTAACCACCCCCCACTGGCCTTAAATGAATCACTTTCAGCACCTGTTGCAGGGGTGTCTTTTAAGGTCATCTTGCTGCACCTTCCCTTTTTCACATTTATTTGCCTCCGAAATTCTGTCACTGGCTAACTGCTTTTCATTTATCCAAATCAACAATTTTCTACCTCTTCAATTTCCTGTGATTGTTTTCTTGTGAGCACCTGCACACCTTAGCAACATTAGCGCTCTTGATAGTCTCTTTGTGTTTTAAAATTGTGCTAATCTTCTGTTTTACCAGCAACAAAAGCATTCTCTCCTTTGTTGCCTGAGAGACGCTTGTTGTCATGCTGAGATATCCTACTGAGGGTGGTCAGGTTGAAAACCCTAAGTTTTGTTCCACAAGCAAGACATCACCCCACCCCCAACAACTTGGTCGAGAACGGAATTCTTCTAGATGGGAGACTTTCAAGAACCAAGGTTTGAAGACTAGCTAGCTAGGTCTTGCCTCAGCTTTATGGCTGGGAGCCATCTCCTTGAAATGTAAACATACAAGGAGATAGTCCCCACCTGCCAATTTCCTTGAGAGGGTAGAAGCCCAACTTCAGTGGGCATCTTGCTCCAAATTACAAAACTTCTCATAAAGAGTAAATATCAAAAAGTAAATATCTCATAAAGATATGAGAGGTTTGCTTTTCCTCTGGATAAAGCCAACTAACTAACCTAGATGGTCATCCCAATTATTACACATCTCCTCCCTACAGTTTCCCCCAAACTGGTCCCAAGTATTAGGTTAATTATAATGAAAATAAGAACAAAACGTGTTTAGTGCTTACAGCGGGTGAGCCAGTGTTAAGCATGTTACTAGTATTAGTCACACAACTCTATTAAGGTGTAGTATTATCCCCATTTTCCAGATGAAGAAACGCAAGGCACAGCGACTTATCTTAGATTACACAGAGAGCAAGCAGAGCCTCCACACTGTGAACTCTGCCCGGACCACACCAGCTTCCCAGCTACAGCAGAACAAAGATGTCGCTTGTCAGATCAGAGAAAATCAAAAGGGGAACTAGAGAGGGAGTGATTTAAAAACATCCTAATAGTTCTATGTCCTTGGTTTGCATGAATTCAGAAGTGAACACTGAGAAGTGTGGTTTGTGAGGTATTGGCCTGGGGTGGGGTTGGGGGAATGGCAGCTTCTTGCAAAAGCGTTAGGATCCAGGCCTGCTTAACTGCATCACCACCACCTCTTACCTCTACACTCTCCTGGCCACACAGACCTGGGTGCAGGTCTGGAGTGACCACAGGCCCCTCAGCACAGGCCATTTGCACATTTGTTCTGATCTCCCTCTTCCTACATATCACCTCAGTCTCCATTAAATCATCTGCTCCCCAGGAAGGCCAACCCCAACTCCCTGAGCAGGACGTACATCGTAGCATAAGCTCTCAGACATTTCCAGTTTTGCCCTCAATACCTGCATGACTCTCAGGTCACTAGAGGCATTTAGGAAATAGGTGATAGCTCTGCCTAGCACTAAAGATGAAGGAGTTGGGAAAAGGTTATTTGCCTTTTAAAAGGTGTTTTAAAACTGCAAACACTGTTCCTTGAAGATTTTCCTAAAGAATTTAACAATAGTTCTGGAATGAATCTTTTTAACTGTGTTAAAATATACATAGCAAAATTTACTAGTTTAACTTTCTTTTGGTTACTCCTCACCCGAGGATATTTTTTTTCCATTGATTTTTAGAGAGAGTGAAGAAAGAAACATCGATGTGAGAGAGACACATCAATTGGCTGCCTTCTGCACAGCCCCAACTGGGGCCTGGAATGGACTAGGAATCAAACCCACAACCCCTTGGTGTGTGGGCCGATACTCTTAACCACTGACCCATGCTGGCCAGGGCTAGTTTAACCATTTTTAAGTGTATAATTCAGTGGCATTAAGTACATTCACAATGTTCTACAACCTTCACCACTATCAGTCTCCATGATTTTTCATCACCCCAAACAGAAACTCTGTACCCTTTCAACAGTAACTTCCCATTCCCTCTTTTCCTAAAAGTTTATATCCCTTTGTGTGTATATATACATTTTGTTTACCCATTTATCTGTTGATGAACATTTGGGTGGTTCCATCTTTTTGCTCTTAATAATGCTGCTAAGAACACTGATGTACAAGTATCATAGTCCCTGCTTTCACCTCTTTTGGTTATATATTGGGGCATCGCAGTTGGATAAAATTTATCCAGCCACAAATGTTTTTAAACCAACTTTGGTTCAACATAGAATATCAATATAGGTGATGCACCAGTTTTTATAGAACAACTTTGAGTAAAACATTGTTCAAACACTGCTGCAGTCCTACTTTGTCAGTATCAAGGATCTTATCTAAGTGTTTAAAAGAGCACATGAAGTATTTAAAATGTATTCAAAGTCTAAGTAGACATAAAAGCAAGATACATAGAAAAGAACAGCTGGGATTCTGTGTTCTGACCAAGTTAGTATCAAGTGCTGAAAGTACTACCTCTAAAGCATAGCCAAGCCTGAGCCAGAGCCAGGGGTCTAGCCATCATAGCTGCCTTCCAGGCAGGACAGAGAAAGAAGGATCTTTGAAGCAATATTCCCCTACAAGCCCAGCCCTTCTAGGACTGGGTCATATGTCAAACCTAGCTATAAATCGAGCTGGGAAGTCCTCTTTTAGGTGGGTACTTTGTCTCGCTCAACATTGGGCTTCAGTAACTAGAGAAGGTTCCAGAAGGGTATTAGGAGGAAACTGTCCCCTGTGCCACCGTACACATCATTATTTCCCTTCTCAAATTCCCCTTTCCAAATCCTAACCCACAACCCTGCCCCAAACCTAGTGTACTATCAAAGGAAATTTAACTGGGGAAGCCACATGGCTACGAGATCTCCTCTAATGGTTAAAGGCTAATGGAGTTTTCCATTTATTTTTTACATTGGAGAAATGCAGTTAGTTGTCCTTCAGGGTCAGTAAAACTAGCTTTGACTCTGGATGCGCCCCTCACCCCAGCCTCAGTACTTCCTCATAAGAGCAGCTCTTCACCTTCTCTTCAGGAGAATAGTTCATATATCTGCTTCATTTACAAGCAGCTATTAGTTATTTAGTATTTCACCTGTTCTCATTGACTTAACTCTCAGCTAAGGTTCTAAGGTAGGGCCCTGCCACCTCCGTTAGGTGATCCTGATGTATCAACACTAAGACTCCTAGGGTGCTTTAGAAAAACGCCAGTGCCCAGCCCTACCCTCAGATATCAGGGTACAGTTGGTCTGGGATGTGTGGCTAGAGCAAAGGTAATTTCAAAGTGTCTCAAGGAATTCCAGTATGGAGATGGCTGGCAAGCCCAGCTCCTGTACACCTGTGTGCACATCTGTGCCTGGGGAGGTGCTTGCCCCTGGACCTAACACCTCTGTAGGTGCCGCTATTAAGCCTACTGCCCTTAACCTACCTTCTTCTCCTTAAAACCTTGTCAAACACACTAGGCAAGAGAAAAAGAACAACATGTGTATTACTGTTTTACTTGTCAGAATTTCCAGAACCAGGGTCTCTAGAAAAATAGAAAATTTTACTACTATGAAAAGGCAACTATGACAAATAAGTATAATCAGAAAGGGGCTCCATGGACTTGAGCAAATGTGGAGTTCAGCCTGGGCAGTGCAGCCCACAACAGAAAGGAACTCGTGTCCCCACATTTGAGGCCTGTTTCCCTCCAGAGCTGGGACTGAGCCTACTCTACTAGCTGGTCCAGTCCTGGAACCGGAAGCAGTCGCTTGCTATCTTCCACACTGTGTTGCTAGGCGAAGCCTGGGCAGTCAGGAGGAAGTTCTGGTTGAAGTCCCGTTGTTTGTTGCCTTCAAACTTCACTGTTCCACAGATCACAACGAGGACCGTGGTCTGGCTTGGGGTGGCTTCATCATGTACAGGCTGGCAGTCAACCACATTGATTTGGAACTCACTGGAAGGCAACATTTCAAAAAACTCACTCAAGGACTCTTGTCCTGAAACAGCGTTTCCATTCCACACCAGGGTGGCGGTGCCCATGTACAGGCGGGACAGCAGACGCCTCCGTTTGTCCATGGTGGTGTAGTAGACGTTGACAAACTCCTCAGCAGCCCTGCATGCCTGATCCACGTAGGTCTTGAAGTCCACTGATGCCATCTCTGGCTCTCCTGAAGGAGGCCTCCACCCAGGTGCTTCCTGCACCTGAGGGAGCCGGGGCTGTGGGGAGGAAGGTAGAAGAGAGCCCATGTGAATGCCAAACTTCACTCTGTCCTGACAACTAAACAATCCTCCTTTTCTATTGGTGGCAAAACAATTACATACTGTAGAGATGAGTCTAGGCACAAACTGCTGCCAACTCTTAATCTTACTAAACCTGATTGTTCATCTTAAAATGGGAATAATAGCACTTGTGGCATAGTTTTAATATGAGAATTAAATAAGACAGTGTATACTAAGTGCTTAGTTAGAAAAGCCTGATACCTACATCTCAGAAAACAGTAGCTATTACTATGAATTTTTTAAATCTCATTTTATAAAACAGTACATTTGACCATGGAAGGCCACTTTTCCTGAAAGTGTGGAAAAGTGAGAAAGGTTTATCCTGGGTAAAGACAGTGGACCTTATTGAAGGGAACTGACCCGATGAAGGCCAATTAGATGGCATATGCTCATTAGCTGCTCAGTTAGTGACAGCCTGGGACAGCCTATCAGGAGGTCACTCCAGGGAGACTGAAAGGTGTTTTTTTGGTTGTGTTTTTTAAAAAGGCAAGTTTCTTAAGAGGGTAAGAGAACAAATGCCCCAAGGACAGGACCAAAATGATGGCTGTAATCCTCATGATAAGCTATAAGAAGCAAACCTGGTGGCTGGCTGGGAATGAGAATAGAGCACCTAGCATCTGTGAGCACAAATACTCACCAGGTAAATCCTGTAAGCCACAATGCAAAGACAAGTTAGAATCAAAAATTCTATGGGGTGGTGTGGGGGCAGCAAAAAAGAACTTCAACTGTAGCTGAGATGCCACATTTCCTTTAAAAAAAAAATCCAAGGGCATAAAGAAAAATTACTTGTGTTTGGTTTTTTTTTCAGGGTATGGTACAATGGTTATAGTTCCCTGTTCTCTCTTTTTTTAATCCTCACCTGAGGATATTTTTTCCATTGCTTTTCAGAGAGTAAAAGGGAGGCAGGAGGGAAAGGGAGAGAGAGGAAGTGAGAGAGAGAAAGGTCAGTGTGAGAGAGACACATCGACCGGTTGCCTCCGGCACAGGCCCTGGCTGGTGGTGGAGAGTGAACCCAAAACCGAGGTAAGTGCCCTTGACTGGGAATCAAACCCACGACGCTCTAACCACTAAGCACACCAGCCAGGGCTCCCTGTTCTTTTTTATATCATTAAAATATTTTACTAAAAAAGAACCCAACAGAGGACAACATTACTAAAATAGTAGATATGCTTAGACTTACAAAATTAAATATTGAACAATTTTTTTCATTTTGCAGACCTTAACTTTTTTAACGTAATACATAAAAAAACACACAGGACTGGGAAGAAGTCAGGCCTGAGAAAGGTGGAGCCTCTGCCTCCGGTAAAGAACTGTAAGGAGCTGGGAGGTAGCCTGGTCCTAGGAATGAGCAGTTCCAGTGCAAGATGCACACCTTGGATTTTCCACTCCCTCCATGGACCTGAAGTCAAGCCTCAACACAACTCTGAGCTGGTATTTACTAAGTGCTTTACACGCATTACCTCATTTAATGGTCACCACAAGTGGATGAGAGGGTATCACTAAACAATTTTACTAATAAAATTGAGACAGGTTTGGATCGAGGTCTTGACAGCAAGCACACTCCTTATTTATCACTTATAAGAACATGTGTGGCCCTTTAAAATGTCAAGATTATGCTGTCCTTTTACTTGCTTATTTTTTTAAGTTCCTGCACTTTTGAAATCAAGCCTATCATAGCAGAATTCCTGGATGCCAGTTTGAACATTTCCTTTCAGGGGCCCGACTTTCTCTCTTGCTGGAATTCTCAACCACTGGAGGCCCACATTCCTCACCCTGGCCTATCTCACTCCCTCTACCATCTCAGATACACCCCCTCTTCTCCACCCCGTTCCCGGCTCATTTGGGGTTCTGCGAAAGTGGTCTTTCCAGCCCAGCTGCTGTGGCTCAGGGGTTGCGCCTCGAGCCGTGCGCCAGGAGGCCGCGGGTTCGATTCCGGTCGGGGCACCGGCGCCGGGTGGCGGGCTCCACCCCCAGCAGGGGGCGTGCAGGAGGCAGCCGGTCGACGCTGATGTTTCTCAACATGATTCTCTCTCTCCCTCTCCCTTCTTCTCCCTCTAAAATCAATAGAGACATTTTTTTTAAAGTGATCTTTCCAGGCGCAGGTAACGCCCCGCCCCGCCCCGCCGCTTAATAAAACGATTGCCTCCACTGCTGCGGATCAGTCACCTACAGAGCTCATGGCCAACCCGTCTCCATCAAATCAGGGACAATGAGACTGGAAAGCAGCTGGATGAGAGAAGCTATGAAGCTCGCCGCCTTTAGCTCTCTGCAGCTGGACCGGAGAAGATGAAACGGGCCTCCTCTCCGGCGGTCCGCGCCTTTCAACCACGCGCCCCGCGGCCACCGCCTGGACCGACACCCGCTCCGGCACCGGCACTGCATCGTCGAGCGAATTTCCTGCCGAGCTTTTCGCACAAGCCAAAGCTCGATCCAGGACGGCAGCGCTGCCACCCGGGCGAGGACAGAACCCGCCTGAATCCTGACAATGGAGGGAGGGCGCGGGGACACACGTGCGCGCCCGAGTCTCCCGAGCCCCTCAGGCTGCCCCGCGAGGGACCCACCTACCTGCGCCCGCGAAGGCCCGGGTCAGCGTGGGCAGCGACCTCGGTCTGCCCCGGTCCGCGTGGGTGGCGGAGGCCCCCCCGGGGCCACAGCGCCACAGAGAGC